GCCTTCTCCCCTCCATGCCTTCTCCCCTCCATGCCTTCTCCCCTCCATGCCTTCTCCCCTCCATGCCTTCTCCCCTCCATGCCTTCTCCCCTCCATGCCTTCTCCCCTCCATGCCTTCTCCCCTCCATGCCTTCTCCCCTCCATGCCTTCTCCCCTCCATGCCTTCTCCCCTCCATGCCTTCTCCCCTCCATGCCTTCTCCCTCCATGCCTTCTCCCCTCCCTGCCTTCTCCCCTCCATGCCTTCTCCCCTCCATGCCTTCTCCCCTCCATGCCTTCTCCCCTCCATGCCTTCTCCCCTCCATGCCTTCTCCCCTCCATGCCTTCTCCCCTCCATGCCTTCTCCCCTCCATGCCTTCTCCCCTCCATGCCTTCTCCCCTCCATGCCTTCTCCCCTCCATGCCTTCTCCCCTCCATGCCTTCTCCCCTCCATGCCTTCTCCCCTCCATGCCTTCTCCCCTCCATGCCTTCTCCCCTCCATGCCTTCTCCCCTCCATGCCTTCTCCCCTCCATGCCTTCCCCCTCCATGCCTTCTCCCCTCCATGCCTTCTCCCCTCCATGCCTTCTCCCCTCCATGCCTTCTCCCCTCCATGCCTTCTCCCCTCCATGCCTTCTCCCCTCCATGCCTTCTCCCCTCCATGCCTTCTCCCCTCCATGCCTTCTCCCCTCCATGCCTTCTCCCCTCCATGCCTTCTCCCCTCCATGCCTTCTCCCCTCCATGCCTTCTCCCCTCCATGCCTTCTCCCCTCCATGCCTTCTCCACTCCATGCCTTCTCCCCTCCATGCCTTCTCCCCTCCATGCCTTCTCCCCTCCCTGCCTTCTCCCCTCCATGCCTTCTCCCCTCCATGCCTTCTCCCCTCCATGCCTTCTCCCCTCCATGCCTTCTCCCCTCCATGCTTCTCCCCTCCATGCCTTCTCCCCTCCATGCCTTCTCCCCTCCATGCCTTCTCCCCTCCATGCCTTCTCCCCTCCATGCCTTCTCCCCTCCATGCCTTCTCCCTCCATGCCTTCTCCCCTCCATGCCTTCTCCCCTCCATGCCTTCTCCCCTCCCTGCCTTCTCCCCTCCATGCCTTCTCCCCTCCATGCCTTCTCCCCTCCATGCCTTCTCCCCTCCATGCCTTCTCCCCTCCATGCCTTCTCCCCTCCATGCCTTCTCCCCTCCATGCCTTCTCCCCTCCATGCCTTCTCCCCTCCATGCCTTCTCCCCTCCATGCCTTCTCCCCTCCATGCCTTCCCCCCCTCCATGCCTTCTCCCCTCCATGCCTTCTCCCCTCCATGCCTTCTCCCCTCCATGCCTTCTCCCCTCCATGCCTCTCCCCTCCATGCTTCTCCCCTCCATGCCTTCCCCTCCATGCCTTCTCCCCTCCATGCCTTCTCCCCTCCATGCCTTCTCCCCTCCCTGCCTTCTCCCCTCCCTGCCTTCCCCTCCTGCCTTCTCCCCTCCATGCCTTCTCCCCTCCATGCCTTCTCCCCTCCATGCCTTCTCCCCTCCATGCCTTCTCCCCTCCATGCCTTCTCCCCTCCATGCCTTCTCCCCTCCATGCCTTCTCCCCTCCATGCCTTCTCCCCTCCATGCCTTCTCCCCTCCATGCCTTCTCCCCTCCATGCCTTCTCCCCTCCATGCCTTCTCCCCTCCATGCCTTCTCCCCTCCATGCCTTCTCCCCTCCATGCCTTCTCCCCTCCATGCCTTCTCCCCTCCCTGCCTTCTCCCCTCCATGCCTTCTCCCCTCCATGCCTCTTCCCCTCCATGCCTTCTCCCCTCCATGCCTTCTCCCCTCCCTGCCTTCTCCCCTCCCATGCCTTCTCCCCTCCATGCCTTCTCCCCTCCATGCCTTCTCCCCTCCATGCCTTCTCCCCTCCATGCCTTCTCCCCTCCATGCCTTCTCCCCTCCATGCCTTCTCCCCTCCATGCCTTCTCCCCTCCCTGCCTTCTCCCCTCCCCCCATGCCTTCTCCCCTCCATGCCTTCTCCCCTCCATGCCTTCTCCCCTCCATGCCTTCTCCCCTCCATGCCTTCTCCCCTCCATGCCTTCTCCCCTCCATGCCTTCTCCCCTCCATGCCTTCTCCCCTCCATGCCTTCTCCCCTCCATGCCTTCTCCCCTCCATGCCTTCTCCCCTCCATGCCTTCTCCCCTCCATGCCTTCTCCCCTCCATGCCTTCTCCCCTCCATGCCTTCTCCCCTCCCTGCCTTCTCCCCTCCATGCCTTCTCCCCTCCATGCCTTCTCCCCTCCATGCCTTCTCCCCTCCATGCCTTCTCCCCTCCCTGCCTTCTCCCCTCCATGCCTTCTCCCCTCCCTGCCTTCTCCCCTCCATGCCTTCTCCCCTCCATGCCTTCTCCCCTCCCTGCCTTCTCCCCTCCCTGCCTTCTCCCCTCCATGCCTTCTCCCCTCCATGCCTTCTCCCCTCCATGCCTTCTCCCCTCCATGCCTTCTCCCCTCCATGCCTTCTCCCCTCCCTGCCTTCTCCCCTCCATGCCTTCTCCCCTCCATGCCTTCTCCCCTCCATGCCTTCTCCCCTCCATGCCTTCTCCCCTCCATGCCTTCTCCCCTCCATGCCTTCTCCCTCTCCATGCCTTCTCCCCTCCATGCCTTCTCCCCTCCATGCCTTCTCCCCTCCATGCCTTCTCCCCTCCCTGCCTTCTCCCCTCCATGCCTTCTCCCCTCCATGCCTTCTCCCCTCCATGCCTTCTCCCCTCCATGCCTTCTCCCCTCCCTGCCTTCTCCCCTCCATGCCTTCTCCCCTCCCTGCCTTCTCCCCTCCATGCCTTCTCCCCTCCATGCCTTCTCCCCTCCCTGCCTTCTCCCCTCCATGCCTTCTCCCCTCCCTGCCTTCTCCCCTCCATGCCTTCTCCCCTCCATGCCTTCTCCCCTCCATGCCTTCTCCCCTCCATGCCTTCTCCCCTCCATGCCTTCTCCCCTCCATGCCTTCTCCCCTCCCTGCCTTCTCCCCTCCATGCCTTCTCCCCTCCCTGCCTTCTCCCCTCCATGCCTTCTCCCCTCCATGCCTCTCCCCTCCATGCCTTCTCCCCTCCATGCCTTCTCCCCTCCATGCCTTCTCCCCTCCATGCCTTCTCCCCTCCATGCCTTCTCCCCTCCCTGCCTTCTCCCCTCCATGCCTTCTCCCCTCCCTGCCTTCTCCCCTCCATGCCTTCTCCCCTCCATGCCTTCTCCCCTCCATGCCTTCTCCCCTCCATGCCTTCTCCCCTCCATGCCTTCTCCCCTCCCTGCCTTCTCCCCTCCATGCCTTCTCCCCTCCATGCCTTCTCCCCTCCCTGCCTTCTCCCCTCCATGCCTTCTCCCCTCCATGCCTTCTCCCCTCCATGCCTTCTCCCCTCCCTGCCTTCTCCCCTCCATGCCTTCTCCCCTCCATGCCTTCTCCCCTCCATGCCTTCTCCCCTCCATGCCTTCTCCCCTCCCTGCCTTCTCCCCTCCATGCCTTCTCCCCTCCCTGCCTTCTCCCCTCCATGCCTTCTCCCCTCCATGCCTTCTCCCCTCCATGCCTTCTCCCCTCCATGCCTTCTCCCCTCCATGCCTTCTCCCCTCCATGCCTTCTCCCCTCCATGCCTTCTCCCCTCCCTGCCTTCTCCCCTCCATGCCTCTCCCCTCCCTGCCTTCTCCCCTCCATGCCTTCTCCCCTCCATGCCTTCTCCCTCCATGCCTTCTCCCCTCCATGCCTTCTCCCCTCCATGCCTTCTCCCCTCCCTGCCTCCCCTCCATGCCTTCTCCCCTCCATGCCTTCTCCCCTCCATGCCTTCTCCCCTCCATGCCTTCTCCCCTCCCTGCTTCTCCCCTCCATGCCTTCTCCCCTCCATGCCTTCTCCCCTCCATGCCTTCTCCCCTCCCTGCCTTCTCCCCTCCATGCCTTCTCCCCTCCATGCCTTCTCCCCTCCATGCCTTCTCCCCTCCATGCCTTCTCCCCTCCCTGCCTTCTCCCCTCCATGCCTTCTCCCCTCCCTGCCTTCTCCCCTCCATGCCTTCTCCCCTCCATGCCTTCTCCCCTCCATGCCTTCTCCCCTCCATGCCTTCTCCCCTCCATGCCTTCTCCCCTCCATGCCTTCTCCCCTCCATGCCTTCTCCCCTCCCTGCCTTCTCCCCTCCATGCCTTCTCCCCTCCCTGCCTTCTCCCCTCCATGCCTTCTCCCCTCCATGCCTTCTCCCCTCCATGCCTTCTCCCCTCCATGCCTTCTCCCCTCCATGCCTTCTCCCCTCCCTGCCTTCTCCCTCCATGCCTTCTCCCCTCCATGCCTTCCCCTCCATGCCTTCTCCCCTCCATGCCTTCTCCCCTCCATGCCTTCTCCCCTCCATGCCTTCTCCCCTCCCTGCCTTCTCCCCTCCATGCCTTCTCCCCTCCATGCCTTCTCCCCTCCATGCCTTCTCCCCTCCATGCCTTCTCCCCTCCATGCCTTCTCCCCTCCCTGCCTTCTCTCCTCCATGCCTTCTCCCCTCCATGCCTTCTCCCCTCCATGCCTTCTCCCCTCCATGCCTTCTCCCCTCCATGCCTTCTCCCCTCCATGCCTTCTCCCCTCCATGCCTTCTCCCCTCCATGCCTTCTCCCCTCCATGCCTTCTCCCCTCCATGCCTTCTCCCCTCCATGCCTTCTCCCCTCCATGCCTTCTCCCCTCCATGCCTTCTCCCCTCCATTCCTTCTCTTGTCTGTGGCTTCTCTCCTCCATGCGGCCAGCAGCGTTGGGGGGAATCACAGCTGTGTGGTTCTCTGCTCCTCTGCTCCTTTGGCCTTTCCCCCTCCGTGTCTTTTCCTCCGTGCTCTCTTCTCCATCATCTCCTTTGCCTCTCCTTCCTCTCCTCTGCTGCTGTGAAATGGGAAGAGGCAGGCACAGGGCTGATGAGTGCATAATCTCACAGAAAGGACATAATCTCACATGACAAGAAGGAAAGGACTTTGAGCATGCATAAGGCAAGAAGGAAAGGACTTGCGAAACGAATAAGGCAGCAACCATGCATGTCTGAACGAACAGAACAGATAAATCAAGAAAGAGGATCACATATTTACTCCACCACTGTGCTTCTTCGCTCCATCGCTACTTTGCTCCTCGTCTCCTCTTCTGCTGCTCCTCGGCTGAGCCAACTCCTTTGCTTCTCCACCTCCTCTGCTCCACCTATGCTCCATCTCCTCCTCCTCGGATGCTTCTCCTCTGCTCCTCCTCCTCTGATGCATCTCCTCTGCTCCTCCTCCTCTGATGCATCTCCTCTGCTCCTCCTCCTCTGATGCATCGCCTCTGCTCCTCCTCCCCTGATGCATCTCCTCTGCTCCTCTCCTCTGATGCAGCTCATGGGTGGGAGGTAGGTAGAAGCGAGGGAGATAGCAGCTGGCCTTCTCTTCTGCTCCCAGCAGCTGCCTAGTCGTCTCCTCTGCTCAACTGCAGTAGCACGCGGCAGTGAGGCAGCATCATCTGCTCCCACTGCTGCTGCCCACCGCTGGTGTCACCAATGGCCTTCTCTTCTGCTGCTGCCTCTCCTTTTGTTGCTGGTCATCTCCTTTGCTCCTCCACTCCACTTCACCTCTCCTCCGATCACATCACACCAGCAGCAGCAGCACACTGGAGGGAGGTAGTAGTGAGGGAGGTAGCACCTGTCACTGCCAACACAGCAGCACCTCTCCACCTCCAACTCAGCTGTTTCGTAGCCCCAGCAGCAGCACAAGGGAGGGAGGTAGGAGCGAGGGAGGTAGCACCTGACGCTGCTGCAGTTTTCTGGTATTGCTGGTGGTCCCAATGCTGCCGCTGCTGCTGCCAACACAGCAGCACCTCTCCACCTCCAACGGAGCAGTTTCGTAGCCCCAGCAGCAGCACAAGGGAGAGAGGTAGGAGCGCGGGAGGTAGCACCTGTCGCTGCTGCAGTTGTCTGGTATTGCTGGTGGTCCCACTGCTGCTACTGCTGCTGCCAACACAGCAGCACCTCTCCACCTCCAATGCAGCAGTTTCGTAGCCCCAGCAGCAGCACAGGGGAGAGGAGGAGGGAGCGGGAGGTAGCGGTCGCCATCTTGGTAGCACCAGCTACAGCACAAGGCAGCAGCAGCAGGTAGCAACAGCTCCACCTTGCTCCTGTCAATACTGGCGCCTTCCCCCCTCCATAAGGCCAGCAGTGGTGGGGGCCAGTGCAGCTCTGCTCTCCTCTGCTCCTCCTCCTCTGACGCATCTCCTCTGCTCCTCCTCGTCTGATGCTCCGTCCCCAAAGGTGCATCTCCTGTGGGATGGGAAGGAAGGAAAAGCTAATGAGCACCCAGCGATTGCACCCGGAGCTAAAAACTGATTCGAAGTCAAAGCCAAGCGAACAGCGCAACAACCAAAGGATCAAGAAAACGAAGGCAGGAAAGAAGATGCTCACCGGCAGGAATTCTCCTTAGCGCCTCCTCTCCTCCGCGCCTCCTCTCGTCCGTGCCTCCTCTCCTCCGCGCCTCCTCTCCTCTCTGCGCCTCCTCTGCTCCGCGCCTCCTCTCCTCCACGCCTCCTCTGCTCCGCGCCTCCTCTCCTCTCCTCCACGCCTCCTCTCCTCTCCTCTGCTCCGCGCCTCCTCTCCCCCACGCCTCCTCTCCTCCGCGCTTCCTCTCCTCTCCGCCGCGCCTCCTCCTCCTCCGCGCCTCCTCTCCTCCACGCCTCCTCTCCTCCAAGCCTCCTCTCCTCCACGCCTCCTCTCCTCCACGCCTCCTCTGCTCCACCGCGATCGAGTGCTCCGATGCTCCACTTCTCCCTTCTGCTAAATAAGACAAACACGGACCATTAGTGGTAGTGGAGAACAAGTAAACCAAATGGACGAGCACTTACCGAGGGGGCTGGAGGCGTCTTGAAGTCTCGCGGCTGTCTGAATCGGGAAGCAACAACGACATCAGCGCACGTGGAAAACAGAAAGCAGAAACTTGGAGAGCACTTACCGAGGGGGCTGGAGGCGTCTTGAAGTCTCGCGGCTGTCTGAATCGGGAAGCAACAACGACATCAGCGCACGTGGAAAACAGAAAGCAGAAACTTGGAGAGCACTTACCGAGGGGGCTGGAGGCGTCTTGAAGTCTCGCGGCTGTCTGAATCGGGAAGCAACAACGACATCAGCGCACGTGGAAAACAGAAAGCAGAAACTTGGAGAGCACTTACCGAGGGGGCTGGAGGCGTCTTGAAGTCTCGCGGCTGTCTGAATCGGGAAGCAACAACGACATCAGCGCACGTGGAAAACAGAAAGCAGGAACTTGGAGAGCACTTACCGAGGGGGCTGGAGGCGTCTTGAAGTCTCGCGGCTGTCTGAATCGGGAAGCAACAACGACATCAGCGCACGTGGAAAACAGAAAGCAGAAACTTGGAGAGCACTTACCGAGGGGGCTGGAGGCGTCTTGAAGTCTCGCGGCTGTCTGAATCGGGAAGCAACAACGACATCAGCGCACGTGGAAAACAGAAAGCAGAAACTTGGAGAGCACTTACCGAGGGGGCTGGAGGCGTCTTGAAGTCTCGCGGCTGTCTGAATCGGGGGAAGCAACAACGACATCAGCGCACGTGGAAAACAGAAAGCAGAAACTTGGAGAGAACTTACCGAGGGGGCTGGAGGCGTCTTGAAGTCTCGCGGCTGTCTGAATCGGGAAGCAACAACGACATCAGCGCACGTGGAAAACAGAAAGCAGAAACTTGGAGAGCACTTACCGAGGGGGCTGGAGGCGTCTTGAAGTCTCGCGGCTGTCTGAATCGGGAAGCAACAACGACATCAGCGCACGTGGAAAACAGAAAGCAGAAACTTGGAGAGCACTTACCGAGGGGGCTGGAGGCGTCTTGAAGTCTCGCGGCTGTCTGAATCGGGAAGCAACAACGACATCAGCGCACGTGGAAAACAGAAAGCAGAAACTTGGAGAGCACTTACCGAGGGGGCTGGAGGCGTCTTGAAGTCTCGCGGCTGTCTGAATCGGGAAGCAACAACGACATCAGCGCACGTGGAAAACAGAAAGCAGAAACTTGGAGAGCACTTACCGAGGGGGCTGGAGGCGTCTTGAAGTCTCGCGGCTGTCTGAATCGGGAAGCAACAACGACATCAGCGCACGTGGAAAACAGAAAGCAGAAACTTGGAGAGCACTTACCGAGGGGGCTGGAGGCGTCTTGAAGTCTCGCGGCTGTCTGAATCGGGAGAAGCAACAACGACATCAGCGCACGTGGAAAACAGAAAGCAGAAACTTGGAGAGCACTTACCGAGGGGGCTGGAGGCGTCTTGAAGTCTCGCGGCTGTCTGAATCGGGAAGCAACAACGACATCAGCGCACGTGGAAAACAGAAAGCAGAAACTTGGAGAGCACTTACCGAGGGGGCTGGAGGCGTCTTGAAGTCTCGCGGCTGTCTGAATCGGGAAGCAACAACGACATCAGCGCACGTGGAAAACAGAAAGCAGAAACTTGGAGAGCACTTACCGAGGGGGCTGGAGGCGTCTTGAAGTCTCGCGGCTGTCTGAATCGGGAAGCAACAACGACATCAGCGCACGTGGAAAACAGAAAGCAGAAACTTGGAGAGAACTTACCGAGGGGGCTGGAGGCGTCTTGAAGTCTCGCGGCTGTCTGAATCGGGAAGCAACAACGACATCAGCGCACGTGGAAAACAGAAAGCAGAAACTTGGAGAGCACTTACCGAGGGGGCTGGAGGCGTCTTGAAGTCTCGCGGCTGTCTGAATCGGGGGGAAGCAACAACGACATCAGCGCACGTGGAAAACAGAAAGCAGAAACTTGGAGAGCACTTACGAGGGGGCTGGAGGCGTCTTGAAGTCTCGCGGCTGTCTGAATCGGGAAGCAACAACGACATCAGCGCACGTGGAAAACAGAAAGCAGAAACTTGGAGAGCACTTACCGAGGGGGCTGGAGGCGTCTTGAAGTCTCGCGGCTGTCTGAATCGGGAAGCAACAACGACATCAGCGCACGTGGAAAACAGAAAGCAGAAACTTGGAGAGCACTTACCGAGGGGGCTGGAGGCGTCTTGAAGTCTCGCGGCTGTCTGAATCGGGAAGCAAGCAACAACGACATCAGCGCACGTGGAAAACAGAAAGCAGAAACTTGGAGAGAGCACTACCGAGGGGGCTGGAGGCGTCTTGATGTCTTCGTGACGGCTTAGACAAGAAGAAGACACACATAACAACATTAGGCATGAGACAACACAAGAAAGCAAACAAGACTGCAGCTTACAACGGGTCCTAGCTGCTGCGTCCCCGTGTTGCTCCCGCCTTGGTGTTGCCCCTTAATGCTTGCTGTACCTAGAAGAGGGGCGGCACATAAATTATATCTTGAAGGCGCCTCACTTGAAGGCGCCGCTCCACCTCCCGCTGCTCCTTGTGTGTTGATTCTTTGCCCCCCAGGGGGTCAATGCGCCTTACTTGAAGGCGCCGCTCCACCTCCCGCTGCTCCCTCTTGTGTTGATCCTTTGCCCCCCAGGGGGTCAAAGCGCCTCACTTGAAGGCGCCGCTCCACCTCCCGCTGCTCTCCTGTGTGTTGATCATTTGCCCCCCAGGGGGTCAAAGCGCCTCACTTGAAGGCGCCGCTCCACCTCCCGCTGCTCCTCTTGTGTTGATCCTTTGCCCCCCAGGGGGTCAAAGCGCCTCACTTGAAGGCGCCACTCCACCTCCCGCTGCTCCTCTTGTGTTGATCCTTTGCCCCCAGGGGGTCAAAGCGCCTCACTGCCGGCCCTCCTCCCGCTGCTCAACAGGAGAAAAAAACAACCACCACAGCCCACAACAAGTGTGAGTTTTGAGACGTTTTGCTCTCAAAACCCAAGTTTTGCTCACTGCAGAAAATCTGCAGTGAGGAAGGAGGGGGTGTGAGTTTTGAGACGACTCTCAAAACTCACCACTGCTAGCCTCCCTGGTAGCATCTGCTCCCACTGCTAGCCTCCCTGCTAGCATCTGCTCCCATTGCTAGCCTCCCTGCTAGCATCTGCACCCACTGCTAGCCTCCTTGCTAGCATCTGCTCCCACTGCTAGCCTCCCTGCTAGCATCTGCTCCCACTGCTAGCCTCCCTGCTAGCATCTGCTCCCACTGCTAGCCTCCCTGCTAGCATCTGCTCCCACTGCTAGCCTTCCCTGCTAACTTCTGCTCCCACTGCTAGCCTTCGCTGCTAGCATCTGCCACCACTGCTAGCCCTACTGCTGCCACCGCTGCTCCCACTGCTGCTGCCACCGCTGGTGTCACTGCTGGTCTTCTCCTCTGCTGCCAGCCACTGCTGCTGACAGCTGTAGCGTCATTGCGGGCCTCTCTCCTTCTCCCATGGCTCCACCACTGGTGTCACTGCTGGTCTTCTCTCTTCTGCCAGCCACTGCTGCTGTCAGCTGTAGTGTCATTGCGGGCCTCTCTCCTTCTCCTACCGCTGCTGCCACCGCTGGTGTCACTGCTGGTCTTCTCTTCTGCTGCCAGCCACTGCTGCTGTATGCTGTAGTGTCATTGCGGGCCTCTCTCCTTCTCCAACCGCTGCTGCCACCGCTGGTGTCACTGCTGGTCTTCTCTTCTGCTGCCAGCCACTGCTGCTGTCAGCTGTAATGTCTTTGCGGGCCTCTCTCCTTCTCCCACCGCTGCTGCCTCCGCTGGTGTCACTGCTGGTCTTCTCTTCTGCTGCCAGCCACTGCTGCTGTCAGCTGTAGTGTCATTGCGGGCCTCTCTCCTTCTCCTACCGCTGCTGCCACCGCTGGTGTCACTGCTGCTGGTCTTCTCTTCTGCTGCCAGCCACTGCTGCTGTCAGCTGTAGTGTCATTGCGGGCCTCTCTCCTTCTCCCACCGCTGCTGCCACCGCTGGTGTCACTGCTGGTCTTCTCTTCTGCTGCCAGCCACTGCTGCTGTCAGCTGTAGTGTCATTGCGGACCTCTCTCCTTCTCCAACCACTGCTGCCACCGCTGGTGTCACTGCTGGTCTTCTCTTCTGCTGCCAGCCACTGCTGCTGTCAGCTGTAGTGTCATTGCGGACCTCTATCCTTCTCCAACCGCTGCTGCCACCGCTGGTGTCACTGCTGGTCTTTTATTCTGCTGCCAGCCACTGCTGCTGTCAGCTGTAGTGTCATTGCGGACCTCTATCCTTCTCCAACCGCTGCTGCCACCGCTGGTATCACTGCTGGTCTTGTCTTCTGCTGCCAGCCACTGCTGCTGCCAGCTGTACTGTCATTGCGGACCTCTCTCCTTCTCCCACCGCTGCTGCCACCGCTGGTGTCACTGATGGTCTTCTCTTCTGCTGCCAGCCACTGCTGCTGTCAGCTGTAGTGTCATTGCGGGCCTCTCTCCTTCTCTCCTCGTCTCCTAGCCTCGTGCTGCTTTGCCTTAGCAGAAGTCACGACACACGGCAGTCACAGCAGGAGGTGAGATGCCCATGCTTCCAGCAAGTGAGAAACCACCTTTCCTTGCCTCCTTGCCACCGTGCCTCCTCCTCCCTCTCCTCCTTCTCGTGCGTCATCCCAGCACTCGCCTCTTCACTCGCCACGCTGCTTGCACTGCTCCTCCATGCTCGCTGCTGCTGCCGGCCTGTGGGTGTGCTGGCAGAGGGATGGCAGGATGAGGGATGCTGGCAGGAGGAGAGGAGAAGAGGGAAACAAGTGGACGGAGCAGACACAGGAGGTGAGTGAGAGGGAAGGCGATTAGCACGGCGTACGCAAGTGACAGACCGGAAAAAACGGCATGCATGCAAGCAAGGAAATATGGAAGGATGCAAGCAGTGAGTGTGTGAGTGCAAGCAAGCAGTGCAAGGCACGAGTGCGAGCGAGTGAGTGGTGCGAACTGAGTGAGATAGCTTAGCCGGATGGAAGAGGGTCGAAGGAGCATGCAGGAGTGCTCCCTTGTGTGCGCTACCCTTGCACTCCCCTGCAGGCGCGCTCCCATTGCGTGCGCTCCCCTTGCCTCCTTG